AGAACAAGTTTGGCTGGAGATACTGAGCTGTATCCAATGCTAGTCCTACTTGGGAGTAGACCCTTTGGATGGTAATAAATATGACTGAATGTAGGTACATAAATTTAAATGGGTCTGCTCTGAGGAGGATTTAGTTGAGCATAATTCTCAGTAGAGAGATTCCTACTTACGAAGGTTCCCAGAGAAGATGGGAGCCACAGACCTGACCCACTCCCTGCCCCCTTTGCACACAGCTGCGTCCCACAAGTGCCAGAAACATGTAAGGAGGGTGGGGGAGCAGGGATGCAGAATGGGGGGTGGGTGGGAGAATGGGGGCTGCTTTGGTTTGAACTCCAATCAATTAGAGAGGCAAAGAGCAGCAGCCTTCAGGGATGTCAGAAATAGATTTCCACTTAAGAGCACCAGGGATGCGGCTGACAGACTGACAGCCCCAAACCATTAAAGCCTTCACGGAGGCTGGCAATTTTGCTATTAGAAGATGGAAGTCTGGGTAAGAACGGCGCGGTGACCCGGTTCACTGGAGGCAAAGTGGAAAGGAAATGGGGGCAGGGGAAGGGGGGAAGCAGCGGAATGGGGGAGGAGGGGGGGCGGACAGAAAGTCCCCCCCCCACTGCTAAACCACAGAGACACTCAGCCCATCAGTCAAAATAACAGCGGCGAAATGAGGGGAATTCTAAAAACGTATATCTGACCCTCCCTTAACCTCATCCATCAATCTTTCCACACCTCCCTTGTTCCAATCCGTAGTCTCTCTTCCCAACCCTCTCCCCCTCTCTTCTTCGAATAACTGCGGGCTGTACGGACAACTCCCACCACATTAGCGGGACACCAATAAAATATCCCAGCTACCCCCGGAGCCGTTTTGCCTGCTCAACCCGCAAGACTGCCAATTTAAAAGAGCATTCCCCACCATCCCCAAGTCAAAGACGCATTTTGGTTGCGCTTCTTCTTGCTGGTAGGGGCACTTGACGTCAGCTGCAGGGGCCTGCACCTAAAGGTAGTTTTTTCCACAAGTGGCTGTTAGTCGCTGATAGAAACTGAAGACAGTTCCATCAGATTCCTATTCTGTCTCTGGGGTGGGTGGGCTGGAGTGAGGATCTGACACGTTCAAACACACATACTAATAGGATACAAAATGTTGGTCCACTTGCAAGCCAGAGGCAGAAAAACTATAGGGGACGCCAAATAATTGTGGGATGCCAGTTGATGAATCTCAAGTGAGGAGAGTCTTGTTGCTCTCAGGTCCTCTGCCGGTTTGCCAGAGGCATCTTGTTGTCAAGAGATAACAAGATGATGGGCTATGATGGGCTACTGGCCGGCCCGATCCAACAGGGCTCTTCTTACTTAGCTTCTTCTTTTATTAGTGACTCAGCTGGTTAGTTTAAACCAAGGGTGGGGAAGCTCAAAGTCCAGGGGTCCAGGCAGCGGTGCTTTAGGATCAGAGTTTTCATTCTCCTAGATGTCAACCTGGGAATGTAGCCCAAGCCCCATCTGCCCCTCGCTTCCCTCTACAGGAGGTGCAGAAACTGTGTTCTCGACCACTGGATCAACTTGTTAGTCTCCATCTGTTCAATCCGCCAAAGCCTGTCTTTGCATGCAAGGAAGTACCTAACTCGCCGAGCTACTGTACAAAGGCTAAGAGTCACCTCTGTTGTCCTACTCACTCTGGACCTACCCACCACTAGCATGTGGCCCTCATAAGATTGCCTACAAGGAAATGCGGCCCCCGGACTGAAAAGGGTTCCTCACTCTTCATGACATGAAATACCAGCACCTGCTCTTTGACTTGTGACCCATTGCTCACTTAGTAGCCTATTTGCTTCCTGCCAGCTCTTTCTCCCTCTCTTCCTTCAGTAACTTTGCCCGGAGCTTCGTGTCTCTTGGCTCCACTTGTTGTTGTTGTTTAGTCGTTTAGTCGTGTCCGATTCTTCGTGACCCCATGGACCAGAGCACGCCAGGCACCTCTGTCCTCCACTACCTCCCGCAGTTTGGTCAAACTCATGCTGGTAACCTCGAAAACACTATCCAACCATCTTGTCCTCTGTCGCCCCCTTCTCCTTGTGCCCTCCATCTTTCCCAGCATCAGTGTCTTCTCCAGGGAGTCTTCTCTTCTCATCAGGTGGCCAAAGTACTGGAGCCTCAGCTTCACGATCAGTCCTTCCAGTGAGCACTCAGGGCTCCACTACCCTCTTCCTTTTCAGCTTATTCTGCCCAGGCTGCATCTCTGTCGCTTCCCCCACCTCCTGACCATTTGTATCTACTAAGGATTTTCATGCTATCAGGCATTATGACCTTTTGCTTCACCTTCGGAAGCTGCAGTGTCTGTCAACATTCTATTCCAGCAGCGTTCCCCGAGCAGTAAGGAATGCTAACACCACAAGCAGATCAATGAATGGCTAGTTTCTCAGGGAAGCAAACAGTTTTCAGCCTATAGGCAGATAAATTACTTGAGCTCCACGTGTCAAGAGATAACCTCTTCCTTAATATTCCAAACCACACAGTTGTAAATTATTCTCTGTTAAATATGGTACTACTATTTTGAAGTGGTATAGAGGATCTCAGTAATACTCATTCCTACCCTGTAAGGCAGGCCAGCACTATTTTTGTAGGCGGGGTAGGGGGGGAAAGGAGCTGAGATTGAAAAACACTCAGTGGCCATATTCAGACATCACATTAAACCATGATTTAGTGGAGCCAGGCCTACTCTCACGCTAATGTGTTCCTCCCTTCCCCTCACACATGGTCAGGAGGATGAGTTTGGACTAACCTGAAAAAGGGTTTTACTAGTCTACTGGGGGCTACCAAGAGAAGAATTTAATGTTGCATTCCTATGCTGGGCATGGAAGAAGCGAGTTTCCTATCTCTAACATCCCCACTTGCTGCTAGGCCTCCTCTGGCAGACCACTCACTTGCAATTCCAGGTCGCCTATAGGCCAGAGTGTAAATGAAAGAACGAGTTAAGGGATAGCAAAAGCTTCCAAGCTCCAATCTCTCTCAGTGGAGCAAAGAAAGCAGAAGAGGGGGAGGGCAAAAACCAGGAGACATAGACAGACATCTTCTCGACACACTAAACCATGGCTTAACACAGGGCAGGGAACCTCTAGAGGAGGGTTATTAGCCTGTTTTGCTTTTGTTCTTTTTATTGTATATTTGTGTTGTTTTATCTTGTATTTTTATTCTGTGAAATGCCCTGAGATCTTCAGACAGAAAACAAACAAGATTATAGTATCCTGGACAATTGGCCAGGTTGGTTGGGGTTGAGGAAAGTTGGAGTCCAAACAACTGCAGGGCACTATTCTGAGAAAGACTGGCTTAAAAATGCACGGCAAAGTATTCTGAACTTATTGGTTTCAGAATTAAAATCTGTAGCCAAGGACGTAGTCAACTGGGGATTTTTCTAGCCTTGAGACCTTCCATGAAAACAGAGCGAGGCTGAAATCACAGGTACACTCTTACTGGGAGGCAAGCCCCACTGGTGTACGTTATGCACAAAACTGGGATGCAAAATCTCAGAGGAAACCACTTTAGTAGATGGCCAAGCCAACGACGAATAGTTAAAACTTTCGCTCCTCTTCTCTCTTTCCTGACTGTATTTTTTCGCCAATGAGCCCAAGCAAATCACTATAATTAAGATTCTGAAGATAAAAGCATTTTATTGGTTTGCAAACCCTGGGTATTCATCTAACAAACTATTCGCCTCCCTCCTTAGTAAGACAAAACAGGGCTACTGGAACAGAGGCGCTGAATTAAATGGGTAGTTAAAAAGGAAGGATGAACAATTTGGAGACGCTTTGTGCCTGGCTCCATAGCACATCGCGCACCCGTGGTGGGGAAGGACGCAGACCTATTGCCCAGCTTTACATGCAGAATTAATAAACTGCATCCACAACTAATGGCCACAAGAAACAGGGTGTCAAGTCAGAGATGCTTCTTTTTCAGCTGGGGTGGGGGTTGGGGGGAGGAGATGCTGTGCCACTCCAGCTCCCCAGACCTCTGCTGCTGGCGACCCGGCAAAGTGGGAGGAAAACGGCTTAGTGACTGGCAAGCAACAGGCACATAAAACCCCCTTCACACACAGAACTAGAAAAGCAATTACACGCCTTTGCTCTCCCATTCCTTTGTTTTTATAGGGCTTGTTTCGGAATCCAAGCAACTCTGTGCATTAGCGAGCGCAGGGAGAGGATGGTGGTGGTGATGATGATCAAGAATAGCTGTAATGATACACTTGGGGGGTGGAGGGCAATGAGACACAGCTGCAATAGATTTTCATTGCCTCTCCGTTACAAGGTATTACACAATGCACGCTTTCCCAGAGGAATCCAAAGTCTGGACTCTCTTTGGGAATTGCTTTGTTTCCCCAGAGGGAAAAATTGCCTCTCCTCTACCCGTGGCAGCTACATTGCCAGGGGTGTAGAATATAGGAAGTTGTTTTATACTGAATCAGACCATTGGTCCATCTAGCTCAGTATTGTCGGCACTGACTGGCAGCAGCTCTCCAGTGTTTCTCCCAGCCCTAGTTGGAGATGCTGGGGAATGAACCTGGGACCCCCTTGATGAGGGGTAGCATATCTGCTCCAATGGAGTCTTTGTCTGTACTTGTACACTTGTAAATAACGCAAATATTTTTAAATGGCACTCAAATCTCCAGTGATCTCTCCTCTAAAGAAAACCAAACCCACTGCCCCTGGAATCTGTTATGACCAGGGGAGTGGGGAAAGCACAACAAATATGTTTTTTATGGCATAACTCTTCTACAAGAAGTGTGATTACAGAATCTTACTGTCTAGGCTTGCTTTCAGGGCATATGGATTTTTATGAGCACTACATGACATCACAGCATGTCAACCAATGGCTTTCAAAGGGGATATGCAGCCATCCAATCAGAGACTTTTTGCAGTCTCACAACTTGCAACCGCTGGGGTAGGAGCACAAATGATCAACTCACACTCAATGCTTTGGGGTGTGGGGGTGAGATAGGAAATTGCAATAAACAAAATTACCTTCTTTTCATGATACTAATATGCAAATCCTCCTCTTGCTTGACATCAGGGTGATGACCATTGACCTTGTCGCTCTCCTCACTGTCGTCACTGTGTGAGAAAATGGAGGGAAGCTCTTTCTTTGGGGTCCTGGTAGGAGGCAAGGGGATGGTTCTCTTCTCAGCAAGGCGACCCCGATTCTGCAGAAGAGGAGAAATCCGGAGTCGGAGGAGGGGGGGGAGAGAAAGAGGAAAAGATCAGATTAGGTGACTCAATCAAGATGTGCTGAAGGGGGGAGGTTTTTTAAATAAAGTCAGTCATCTGTTGGTGTGGCTCTGTTGACACCTCCATAATCCTTATGCAAAACAAACTATAGTTAATGTTAATGGTGTGAACAAACCATCATCAAAGCTGAGGCGTACAGCAGATTATCAATTAGACCTTGGTTTCTTACATTACAGAATGATTAAAAGCACCAGAAAAGGCTGCTGAGCCTTTGTCTGAATCTTTTGTGGCTCTTTTTCCACAGCTCTTTAGCTGTTGGGTGGTGATAGCTCCTTAACCAGTTTGGCAGGAGACTGGATTCGTATGCAATTCTAATATGTGGTTAGCATTAACTAATTTTGTAAACCAAGTAGATGCTTTAATTAATGAGTAATCTTTAACCATAGTTAATAAACCATAGCTAAGCTGCTGGGCTCACAAGTACAGTGGAACCTTGGTTCTCAAACGCAATCCATTCGACTCCCAAAACCGAAACCAAGGAGCGGCTTCCGATTGGCTGCAGGAGCTTAAAGCGGAAGCCGCGTCGGTTGTTCGGCTTCCAAAAAACGTTCAAAAACCAGAACACTTGCTTCTGGATTTTCGGCATTTGGGAGCCGATTTGTTTGTCAACTAAGCAGTTCGAGAACCAAAGTTTCATTGTAATGCTATGCCATGGTTTAATAAACCATAGTTTAATGCACCATGGTGCTTGGGAACCCTGAGAAATGGGAGGAAACAGCTGTGGATGGGAGACTGAAGAGGAAAAAAGTGGCCGGCACAAAAGGGTTAAATACCCCTCCCACTTGCCACTCTAAAAATGCCTCCGCATCCCCCCCCCAAATATTTTACATACAGTATTCAGCAACCAACACAGGAAGGTTCCAAATATGCAACAAAGTATTCAGTTGCGCCCTAACAAAAATGACACTCCTGGTTGTTTTTTTAATTGAAGCCATTCCTGGAAATCTGAGCACAGCACCTAAATCGAGCATTTACTCCAGCAATTGATGCTTTCGCCAGGGACCCCCAGAGCTCAATGCCTAATCTCCCCCCTCCACCCCCACAGCTAGATGTCGCAGTGCACCTCTTTCCCGCTAAGTCACAATTTATCGCATCAATTAAGAGTCAGCGGCCTGCAAATTCCCAACACACAACTGCCACGGGACTGCCTCGAGTGCGGCTCCAGAAGCTGAGGAGGGGGACGGTGCCGATCTCAGCTCATAAAAATCATTTAATGGCCATTATGGTACCTAAGAGCAGTTACTTGGTCTCAGTGGCTGCTCAGGGACTCATCATACTTAACTAGAGAAGGGGGAAGGAACAGAGGGTGTGTGTTGGGGATTGAGAACAGCCCTTGCGGAAACTATTCAGAGCCCCACACAGAGAGAAATAGGGGGTCCTGCTAAGCTTCCTTTAACAGCCCTGCCAGGCTCACAATCAGGGGTGGCTCAAGTGCACGCTTCTGGGTCAAGTGGCCTGCATTTGCGACTCTAACACAGCCTCTCCCCCAACCTGGTGCCCATATGCTTTGGACTACAGACACATTTACACACTGGGCTTTCAAGCAGGAATGATCTGTTCCAGAAGAACAGAACTTAGAATCATAGAATTGTAGAGTTGGAAGGGCTCCTTGAGGGTCATCTAGTCCAAACCCCTGCAATACAAGAATCTTTTGCCCACTGTTGGGCTTTTTGCTTAACTTCTCTTCTGCCCCAGGGCAGGGGCAGGGGTGCGTGCGCGCGCGCGCACACACACACACACACACACACACTGCTCCTGTTGCACTACTGCTGGCTGAATGCAAACACACCACAGAGTGGCATGAAACTAAATTTTATTAAGTTGGGTCCATTATTTTCAACAGGTCCACCCGGAGTCAAACTTAGCTGAATGCCACCCTGTAATACCACAGTCATTCCTCCAGATTAACCTAACTCATCAAAGTTAATGGGTTGTAGTCAATGCTAGTTCTACTCAGATTAGATTCCTAGCACTGCAGGCCAATGGGCAGGCTTGCACTTTACTTCAGCATGATTCTAATCCACTTTATTTAACCACCACTAGTGCTGATGTTTTGCAGATTATCAAATGTGTATTAAGAGTCCTGAAGACAACGGAATGTAGACAATGCTCGTCCTTTTCAGAGTAGACCCCACTGAAATTAACACAACTTAGGTCCATTCATTTCAATGGATCTACTCTGAGTAGGATTTAGCTGCATGCAACCCAAAGATGTGACCAAGAACTTTGCATCAACATGTGAAACATAGTCCCACGCTTATAACCTACTGCATAATTTCTATTACTGGCACACTACCCCGAACAATTGGAATGTTCATAAATGTTCCGTGTCATCACAACACCTCAGCCAATGGCTAAGAGGCTTGTAAATAACCTGCCACTGGTCTGAGCCTCACAGATACCAAGGTGGAAAAGAGGTTTCCTAGACACTAAAAATTAGGTGCTAGGAAAAAGTTGGCTGAATTCAAGGTCCTAATTTGTTCTGGGTTTGTTTCCTTCTCGGGGAGTAACACAGCAACTGAAGCATATATCAAACATCTGAAACATTTCACAGTTACTAGTCCAGCATCCTGCCTGGGAAAACCATCACCACCGCCGGACATGCACAGCCTCCAAAAAATTTTAAACGGCATTTTAAGAGAGTCCTAGCTTTGTTCACTTCCAGTACAAACACTGGATCAGCCCAAAGGAAGTCCCTTTGGATGTGGCCTCCTTTTATAACCCTGAGATAATCCTCCCTTGCTAATAAGAGTACTGTGCATCATTGTGTGCTGGGGGGCAGCGAAGAGACCCAAATTTTATCTTCTGCCTCTTGACTTATTTATTATGTTTTTGAATGTGTTGATATGACAATATAAGAAGAGCCAAAGGTCCATCTAGCCCATCATTCTGTTGGCCAGCCAGACGCCAGTAACACTTTCAAAAAGCAGGACATCAGTGCAGCAGTATTCTCCCCATTAAAATTAATTATTCTAAGTTAGTAACATTCCTTTATTTCAGAGAATTGTAGAGTTGGAAGGGAGGACGGACGTCATCTAGTCCAACCCTCCTGCAGTGCAGGAATCTTTTGCCCAACGTGGGGCTCAAACACATGACCCTAAGCTGAACAGCCCCACATTCTTCCGACTGAGCTATCCTGAGTTCTGTTAAATTGGTCTACTCTGATTAGGATTAATAATGCCTACAAGCCTACCTCTTTCCCCAAATCACATCTCATATTTGCTTAAATCTGCAGCTCTAAGCTGAGCGCGCATGTCATATTCTGCTCTGATCTGCATTAAAGGCAACTGGTGAAACTTATCAAATGCCACACAATTAAATCCGAGGCCTCCTTTGAGCCTGAGGGCCTGGCAAATGGCCCTCCTGCCTGACCACTGCTCCTCGCTCTAATTGGCCCTGGTGAGAGCTAGAGTTTAAATATGCATTTTAATAATATGTCATTGCTTTAGTTTTATCCCCATGTTGAAGAGCGCTCCGGGTCTCCCAAGAAGATGGAAATCAAAGATGGAAAGGAGGCTAAAATTTCCACTAAAAGAGGAGCCAGTCAAGGTTAGCCAAGTTGTTAAGACAAAAGCACCCCCAAACCACCCACCCAAACTAACCCTTCCATCGTAACTCCCATATTAAGCCACATTTTCCCCAGCCCATTTAAAAAATAAAAAGAGAAGACGACGTTTTTCCGCAGAAGAATAGGAAATAACCGAGACGGATCTTCCAGATGACAACGGAGGGTTGGAAAGTACAAGAAGAAGGGGGAGGAGGAAAGGAAGGACCCCTGTTCTCAGAGGGAAGGTCAAAGCGTATCAACGCCCTGGTTGTGATGTAGCACAGCTGCCAGAAAACGAGGAAGGATTCCTTCCAGCAGGTCCCCGGCGAGCATTTAATTGATCCCAGAGACGCCGAGGCCTCAGCTAGGGCGGAATTTGCAATGTGTTGGTTGGGGGTGGGGGGGAGACCGGGGAGAGTGAGAGAGACCAGAGAGAGAAGCTTATGTGAAGTCATGTGGTGGGAAAGGCTGGACATTTGGGGGGGGGCAGAAAATATTGCATCTTGACAGAGGACAGGGCATCTTCACTGTGGCTACCAGTCACACTGGTTATGTTCTTCCTCCCCTGTCAGAGACAGTATGTCAGTTGCTGGCACCAGCAGGTGAGGAGAGCTCTTTTGTGCTCAGCTTCTGCTCACGGGCTCCCCATATGCACCTTGTTGGTCAATAGGTCAGCCTCTGGCCTGACCCAGTAAGTCTCTTATTATGTTCATATAAGTAGCAGTGAAGGAGGGCTGGTGCCTGTGGGCTTCTTTGAGCCATCTGGGTGTCCACTATGAAAACTAAATAAAAAAAAATTAGCACTATGGAAACTGTACTAGATGGGCCTTTGGCCGGATCCAGCTACAGGCTGCTTCTTATGTGGAGAGGGGAAGCCAACTCCTGAGCAGTTTAGCTCCAACCAACACACTTTTCGCCTTCCTGGCAAATGAACAAATAAAGGCAGCTGCAAACATGTATGCAAGAGAGGTTGTGTAGAGCTCAGTGGCAGAACACGTACTTGGCATGTAGGAGGGACTGGGTTCTTCTCCTACCTAGCTAGACTCAGTCTCGTGGGTCCCTTGCTATCCGTAAAGATGCCACCCCCCCATCACTGCCTGGTCACCTCACAGAGCCTCTTGGGTGGAGGCCGAAGGTGCTTTTTGTCTACCATCACCACAGACCACAGAGAGAGAGAAGTCAAATGAGCTCCATATGGAGAGGAGGCCCCAAAGTTTTCATTCCCTTGTTTTCATTCCCTTGTTACTGACACACGAAGGTTTGGTTGCCCTCCAGGAGCCTGGAAACCACGGCTGGGAGGAGAAAAGGGAAGGCCCACAAATTTCTTATTAAGAAGCCATACCAAGAGTTCCTCAGGGAGAGTCCTCT